GGTGGGGCCCGTAGCTGGGGCTGCAGGTTTGGGCCGGGTACCCGGCGGCTGGGGCAGCGCCCGCGAAGGGGATGGGGCGCCCGGAGGAGGGAGGGTGGTAGCCGGGGCTCTGCTGGGGGAGATGGGCGGCCGCGCTCCCTCCCACGCCAAAGCGCCCGTCTCCGTTAAAAGTGTCACTGGCGGGGCTACCTGAGCAAGAGGGGAAGGAAGGGGAGCTTTGCTCTAAATGGTGGTAGGCGCCCGTCCCACGGTTACAAATTGCATACTCTAAGAAGGAGTTCATCCTAGTATTGTCCATCTGCCACTGATGGAGGAGGGTCAGCCTGTTTTGGGGGGGATTCCGCCTGCCCTACAACCTTTAGATAGTATGTCAAAGCTGTAAAACTTCCTTCCATGCATCGCCGGCCCTCGAACCCCCGAGCCTTCGGCGGGGCCGGGGTGGGGGCAGGGGCAGGCGGCCACGTGGTCCGCCCCCAGCCCAATGGGCGAGGGGCTCCTGAAGTTTGTCACATCTCTGAGCTCATCCATCAAGGCCCTGACATTTGCATGACAAAGGGGTTTCAATCAAACCCTGCCCATCAATCTGATAACAACACGAATACGTCAAAATCTTTCCTCAAAGACTTTAAAAGAGAGGAGGGAGGTGGGGTGCGGGGAGGTGGAGGGGAAGAGGGGCTGGGGGAAGAATTGGAATTATCCAGGACTGTTTTAAGTGCTAAAAAGGCCCCCAAGTTACGTGATTAGCCAATTTCAGCAGAACTTCCCCTTGCCCCAACTTACAAAGGTTTTCCCCAACCCTAGCTCCATGTGAGAAAAAGAAAGACAGAGGGAAAAGAGGTAGGGAGGTGTGACTACTCTTCCCCCCAAGCACAAAAGGATGCTCTTTTCTTCATTGCGAAACTTCTCCCTAGAAAGTGGCTCGAACACGTTTGGCGTTTTCTGGGCTGAGGAGTCTAATAAAAGCTCCTAAGAAAAATAAGCTCCATGTGTTTTAATTTTGTCACACCGGCTTTGTGTCTAGGGCCAGTCTGGGTAAAAGCAATGTAATTAAATCAATATTCTAATGAGGCGATGAAATAAAGTTAGGAAGACAGACTGTCTTTTGTTGGAGAAATACCATGCCCAGCTTAGCAGTTGGAAGAATGGAACTAAAAACCATCCGTGTGTCTATCTAAGTATCTTCCTATCCGTCCACTCGCCCATGCGCCTATCTGCGCATTCATGGGAGATGTTTTAAGGGCTTTAACCAATGCTGGAACTTTAAGCTCTGCTTTTCCATGGCAAACCTGGTTTGATCTTTCCCCGAATCTGTTGTCAGGCTAGAGCTTTCCCCTGGCAGAGTCCAGCTGATGAGTAGGTGGAAAGACACTGACTTCGGGCCGGCCACTCCACTGCTCAGAGAATGGAAACATAGGTAGGCAACATTTATTTACTTGTTAGCAGAAGGGAGACAAGAGCACCCAACAATATGACGCCCACAGTCATTTGTTACTTGTCAGGATATTTACTGGTTATTCAGCCTCTAAGAAGAACCAGGAGGGCTCTTTTTTTTTTTTTTTTTTTCCCCTCCAGGCCAAAAGTTCACTTTGAAAGGCATAAACCCGTCCTTTAGTTGGTAGGTTTGGCTGACGCAACACGTTGGGGTAACATTTGTTAAGAAAGTGCAGCACACGCGGCCATGGCATCAACCTTCCTCCCTTCTTTAAATCCCCCCGAGAGAAAGCGTGAGTTTTAGCCAATTACAACTCTCGTCCTTCAATAAAAAGAGTAAGGAGAAAACTATTTCCAGAGCTGCGCGCCTATTTATTCATTTATTCTGCCGACTTTGCTGATGCCGAGGTATTCAAGAAGAAAATCTTTTAAGTTACAAATGTTCTCTGAAACTCGCTACCTCCTTTTTTGCATAAAACAAACGAAAGTGATTATAAAGATTCAAAGCAACTCTCGTGTCATTCGCCTTGCAAGAGAAATCGGTTTCTAATTTGATTCCAGGAGTGCTTTTTATATTATGTTGCACTCGCGTTTAAATTGGATGTATTATATTTAAACGATGCTTACAATAGATGATTTATGGGTGTAAAATGGAAAAAGAAAAGGATAGATGTTTATTTCATCCTTGAATCAATTGTTTCGTATTGTCTGATAATTTTCCACCATGATCTCGCTCCACTGTTACATTAAGGGGGTGCTTTATGTCGTTAAAACGCAGCTGTCTTCTGGAGTTTCAGAATTAGCTCCGAGAGAGCTCACTGCTGCGGAGTTACGGAGGGAGGCAAGTGTTGCCGTACGTCCCATCCCAGGGAAGGCTAACCCGAGGTTTCGACCTGGGGCGGCTCTGGGGTGAAAGCACAGAGTTTCTTCGGTTGATGGGGAAAAAAAAAAAATCGGATAGGACGGGATCAAAATTTTAGCCGTGTAATGCAGCAAACATCCCGACCCGAGCAGGCGGTGAAGTGCGGTCCTCGGGCTCCTGGGAGCCACTCCAAGCCCGTCTTTCGGGGGACAGGGAAGATACTGGTGAGATGGGTGGGGGAAGGTGAAGATAGAGCCAGGGAGGGGATGTGCGGAGCTGCAGTCACTTTGGCAAAGGCTTTTTTTGTCCCTCTGTTGAGGCAACTGTCAGATCGCGAAAGATGGGGTGTTGGAGCCGATTTCCTCCCAGAAAGGGGCCGCTGCCTTCCCGCTCCTCCCTGCCCCCCGGGCGCTGCGGGGCCGCTCGCCATCTGCTCCTCCCCGCAGCCTGCTCAGGCCCCTCACTTCTTACCTGCTGTGGGAGCCCAGGCAGCAGAACACCGGGCAGATTTCGGGATGTGGCGGGACGGAAGGTGCTGGGTTCCCACCCCCCACCCGGGGCCGGCACCCCCGGGGCTCCCCTGGGCGCCCCTTCCCGGAGTTGCGGGGCTGACCCCGGCCAGGGCGAGCGGGGTAGCTGCGCTTCAGCCCACGCTGCCCTCCGGCTCCGGCTTACTTCCCCAAAGCGACACGGTCTTCCCCAAAATACATGGCTTGTGGCGACTGCGCGGGATTTTCGAAAGCCGCAGCGTCGACGTGCGTGCCCGCACACTGGGAATCGCTTCTCCAAATTTCCTTCTTAGCCCCTTGCCCCGGATTCGATATCAAATTACTGCTGTTATTATTACTATTATTAATGGTTTTAATTCCCCTTGTGGAGAAGGTGGGGGACCCATTTTCACTACAGACCTTCATAACCCGCAGGAGAGAGAAATACCGGATTATTGTGAACAACCAATCGCCGCGTGAGCCTAATTCTATCACTTACACGTTTATTTCTTTAAAACCTCCTTTATGGGAAGTTGAGAGAGGGAAGGCGGTCAAAGAAAAGGTGTAGGTGGACATTCTCAAATTATCAGAGCTCTGTCCTGCACGCAGACACACCCCAACAGTTACTTAGCCTTTCATTATATTTATTACTTGATTTTCACTTATGTATTGAGGGAGGCAGTAATTATTCCTACCCCCTAATCCACAGACGGCACCGTTTCGGAGATGCTGCTGTCTTTCACTCAACAGGATTAAAATAAAATATCTGGTGATGGATGAGGATAGAGGGTGAGCGGGGAATTTTTAGCTCTTTGATTCCTGGAAAAAGAAACTGTGCTGCCCAGGAGCTGGGTCGGCTGGTCCGTGGGAGGAAGAGGAAATCACTTCTTTGCCTGCTGGTCCAGATCTCTTGCACGGCCCTGAGTGTGCAGCACTCCGCAGAGAGCTGCTTTCCCACTCCCCGAGAGCTGATGCGGGCCTAAAAGCCCTTCAGGAGCTGCCGCCCCTAAACCCCAGGCTTTATTTGATGAGCAGATAAGAAATGAGGAGGCCATCAGCAGAACAACATCGTTTGTCCGCGGAGCTCTTGGCGGCGGGGGACCTCTCATGCCCACCAAAGGCATCCCGTGCCCTTGACCCCTCCACCCACCCCGAGGCAGAGGGACTTGGTGTGACAAATCCTGGGGCAGCTCATCGGCTCGCTGTCCCGGGGTGGAAGCCCACCCACACCCCCTCACTATTAAATTAGCAAGATGCGGCTTTTGGCCCCTAAGGGAAAACCACGCCTTTTGTTCCAGCCCGATGAAGACATCTTACTAAAAGAAACCTTTTCTTGAGAGCAGTTTCTCCCTTTTAGCGGCATAAAGCGGCTCCCCGAATCTCGGGGCTGCAGCAGCCTGGGAGGGAGAGCGAGGGGAGATTTCTCCCTTCCCTAAGAGGCGGCTTGTTTGCTTTGAAACAACTCTCCTGGCATGGAGGATAGGGCCCTTCTGAAGGCGGTTTGTGGGAACACCTCTTGTAAGAAATCTTTATCCGTGACAGACCGGGGAGTTCTCTGTGCAGGCGACACAGAAGGAATGAGGCATTTCCAAAGGCTCCAGAGCCCTCAGAGTCTTCAGACGCTTCGTTTTGGAGTCAAATATAACTCTCTGCGGAGAAAGTTTGTGTCGTGCGTAAGAAATGTCACTTCTGGCTCCTGGAGGGGTGATTTATAAGAAGCGCTGCTGGCGCTGGGGGTGCGTGTTTGGCTGCGGACTTCGTTATTACCAAAAAGGACTTGTCCCTAGAAATTGTCAGAGAAATTTATAGCCCCGGCATGTGTCTTGGTTAGATCATAGCCTGCTAAGCTATATTTGGGGCTAAAAACTGAAGAGGGAAAATAAAATAGCATGTGGAAAAATGCTTCAGAGTTTGGGAGTTCAAAGAAATGCAGAAGGAATCCTTTTAATGAGTTACAAGCACCGGCCTATCCCCGAGCTGCAGAATAAATACGAGACAATTAAGATAAGATATAATAATCCTTATCTCGGGAGCTCTCGGGAGCAGGGCGGCGGATGGCTGGGGACCGGCACCGTGACCGGCTCCAGCACGATGTTGTGAGGCGCCCGGGATGGGGACGGTCCCACAGGTGGTCAGCATCCCCCGGAGGGGATGGGAGCCTTCTTAGCCAGGGAGAGGGACGTGTTTCGTGTTCTCGGTCTCCTGACCAACACTTTGAGTGGAAGATTTGGGTGAGAAATGCCACTTTGGATATTTTTTTCCTTTTCAGGGTGGCACAAACCCCTCAAATCCCGCCTCCTCCTGCGCCAAAAGATCAAATTCCGCCTCCGATGGCTCTGGAGAACCTGTCCTGTTTCCTTGTGAATCGCATCGGCTATTTCTATGTGGTCCCCAGGGCAGAGGTGTGTCTGTAAGCCGGGTCGTCTCACTAATGAGGTTCATTTAAGCCTTTCTGCTCGGTGAGAGTGGAGAGGAGAGGTCTGTATCTGCTGCTCCCGCGTACAGGGGTGCTCTTTCTCGTAGCGGGCAGACCCTGTGGGCTCCTCATCCCGGCTGAGCCCCGCTCCAGGCGGTCCTTGCCTTCTCCCGGGACAGCTCGGCGACCCCGAGGGACCCTTGTCCGGGCCCGGCTGGGTCTGGGCTCAGGGCTGGCCTCGGGCAGCTCCAGGGGGGTGCAGGGCCGGGGATGGACCCGGAGGGTCCCAAACCCTCCGCGTTTCATTCAGACTCAGCACCTGGCAGGCCCGGCGCGGGCTAGCTCCAGCTAAACCCGGCTTTTAGTCAGTGCATGAATTCATTAACACCTTCATCAATGTTGCTAATATTAGTAGGTCAGCATTATTGATATCAACCAGCGTTAGTTTAAACAGTATCCCGCTGGCGCTGAGGACTAGATTCACCCCACCGAACTGCAGCGTCTCTTAAGTTTAGTTTCTCCGAACCCGACACTCTGTGTTTTCCCCTTCACTGAATATGGAGAGGAAAAATAAAAAAAAAAACGGCAAAGCTGGGGTAGATGCGGGAGGTGGCAGGATGGCGAGCAGAAGAAGGTGCCCTCTCCCAGCCCCTTCGTTCGGTGGCGGTGGAGCATTAGGAGCGCTCCCCAGGCTCCGGGCACTGAGGACAGGGATGCGGTTAAGCGCTGGAAAAGGATGCTACAACTCAGCTGAGAAGACGGTCACTGGAGGGGTATTCTCGGAAAGCCGTAGTCTGGCACGGGCAGCTCAGGAGGAAGGTCGGGGTGATTCCCCGGGAGAAGTTAACTCTTCCCATCTCACACATCAAAGGCTCAGCTCCTGCCTCGCTGTCTCGCCCGCGTTTCCTTCACAGAAGGTTTTCCGCCTTGAGCCTTCCCATGGCTCTAACGGGTTGGTTCAACATCTTCAGGGCCTCGAGTAGCTCTTTAGCAAACACATCCCCAGCCTAGATGAGCACAAGATAAATATTACTTTAGCATCCCTACAAACACGTGCGAGCGTATCTCATTTGCATATTTCTAGGTTAATAATCGTGAGGCAATTGCAGTGTTTTGACAACGATCAAGAGCTGAAGACGCTTAATATGCTTAATATATGCCCTCCAGTTGCACAGAACAGAAGGGCAGGGTTGCAAATATGCATTCCCCATTTGTTTGACATTTTGAAGAAGGTAAAGAATGGCTGAACTAATGGCGAAATCTTACAGTCATTCAATAATTTAGATTTTATTGAATATTCCCCTTCTTTCCTCCGACATTTCAGTCTTGCTAATTAGGACAAATAAGAAGGGGCCTGCTGTTAGCAAGGATAATAACTGGCGAGGTTCCATTTATTAAGTCACTTTCCGTGGGTGTAGAATTGATCTGTGGCTGTGACTGGCATGCTTTCTAGACCTGCAGCAACTTTGAGAAGTCATTATGATCCGCAGAAGGGCCCTTGTTAGAGATTTGTATTGATAAGGTGTCAGGGTTTACGTTGGGGGGTTCGTGGAAACCCCTTCCCCGCCCCCGTCCCACCCCGGCGCTGCCTCCTCCGTGTGGCGGGGGGGGGGGGGCCCCCCCCCCCCCCAGCCAGTAGCATCTCCCCTGCAATCCAGCGTGGCCCTGGGTGGGGGTGCAAGGGAAGGTGGGGACCTTTGGGAGAGCAGCCTCTGGAGACCCAACTGCAGGTATCTTGGGCTACTTTAATGCACGGGGCCTTTGCCTTCTTCGGCGCTGGCACCCAGTGCCAAGCTGCAAGGAGGCTGTTACTGCAGGGTTGAAAGCTCGTGGAAGCCCCTCAGCTTTTTTAACGAGACTTTGGGGCAATGTGCTTGCGGTCGCATTGATTTCTTGCAGCACTGATGATTAATCAGATTTTCAGGTGCCAAGTCAAAGGAAAAGCTTGGTTTGCTCTCTAGCCCGGCTCCTGCCGTCCCCCAACAAGCCTGTATTCAGGATTGCGAGGGGGAGGAGGCGAGAGGGGAAATATGTAAAGCACTGGAACAAATGGCGCTTTGATAGACAACGTCTGGCAGTGCCAACGCTGCCGCTGAGTATGTTCCAGAAGCTGGAGGTATTAAATAAACTTAAAGATAATGAATAGCCTTCTGTGGTACTCAGGCTGTGCCTGGGCTGTCTTTCCCCCCCGCACGACTCTGGGACTTTCAGAGCGGAGAGGAATCGGTGAGAGGGGGCAGCGCGATGGGGGAGGGATGTGATGACTCCCAGGCTCGGGTGCGAAGGCAACTCGTCTGCAGGCAGCGCGAACTGTGCACTAGACGCTTCCTTTTATTTATGGGAAGGTGTTAAGTAATGTTCACTTGCATGTTTTAACTGCAATCTACTTCGATTTTCAATATAGACCTACTCCTTCCTGGAGTGAGGTGCTAGCAGGTCTGAAACGCCTGCTCGTTTGGTAGGG